AAAGAGAGACGAACGGAGAGCGGCAGAGAAAGACGAGCAGAGAAGCGATTAATAGAGAGACGTAGACGAAGCACAGAAGCCGCAACAAGCCGAAGAGAGGAGGCGAAGGCGCAGCGCAGAAACGAGAGAAGAGAGAGGAAGCGCGGCGCGACACAGAGACGAAAGCGAAGCGCGACACGAGCGCCGACCGCGAGAGACAGCAGAGAAGAGGCGCGACAAGAGAGCGACGCGAAAGACGAGACGATCGAAGCGGCGACGAACGCGAAGAGAAGACCCAGCGAGAGAGAAGCAGACGGAAGAGACAATGCGAGAGAACACCGCGAGAGAAGAGACGACGAGCCGACAAGAACCGAGAAGCAGATGACAGCGCAACAGACAACGAGCCGCGAGCAGAGTACAGAAAGACAGAGAAAGAGCCACAGAGCAGATAACGCAGAAGCGAAGAGAGAGAAAAAAAGTAGAGAGACTACCAAGAGAACCCGAACCACCCACAGCAGGAGGAAGGAACGAGAGAAGAGAAGAAGAGGCGGAGAGAGAACAATGAAAGAAAGAAAGGAAAGCAAAAGAGAAACGGCGACGCCAGAGAACAGCGCCAAAGAACAGGAGACCGAGAGACAGAGATGAGCCGCCGCGCGCCAAACGCGCGCCAGCAGAAGGAGCAGCCGCAGACGACGCGACGGCGCGAGCCTGAGGAAGAAAAGAGATAAGAGAGTCAAGCTAGGAGAGAGAAACCCACGTAGCACAAGACCGGCGCGCGCGACAGTAGCGAGGAAGAGGGGGGGGGGGGGGCGGGCCGCAGCGAGAAGAGGGAGAAGGAGGCGGACACGAGCGAGAAGAGCGAAGGGAGAGAGCGAGAGAAGGAACGCGACGCAGAGAGAGAAGAGAGGAGACGAGAGCGGAGAAGAGCGCGAGAGCAGAGAGAGAGAGCTAGCGCGAGACGCCGAGCGCGCGAAGCAGCGAGACAGAGAGAGCGAGCGCGTAGAGAGAGGAGAGCGCGCAGCGAGAAGGAGCCGAGCGAGCGTAGAGAGAAGAGCGAGGCAAGAGCGAGAGAGTAGAGAGCAGAGAGCCGAGACCGGAGCGAGGCGAAGAGAGAGAGCAGCGAGAGCGAAGAGGAGATAAGAGAGCGCACAGCGAGAGCGCGCCGAGAGGACGAGCAGCGACAGAGAGAAGAGAGAGACAGCGCGGACAGAGAGAGAGACGCGATGAGCGAAGAGCGCAGCAGAGCGAGCGCAGAGCGACGAAGAGAGCGAGTGACGAGCAAGAGCGCAGCGAGAGAAGAGAGCAGAGAGAGACGCGCGAGAGCGCAGGAGAGCGAAGACGAGCGACCGAGCGAGCGACGAGCGAGCAGCGCGCCTCGCGCGCGCCGACGCGCAGCGAGAAGGCGACGCAGAGCAGACGCGCGAGAGAGAGAGCGAGAGAGACGCAGCCGCGCGCAGAACGAGGCGAGAGTCGACGCGCAGAGCTAAGAGAGAGCGAAGAGAGAGAGCGAGCGAGGAGCGCGAAGAGGCAACGAAGAGCGCGCCCCAGCGAGCAGAGAGAGCGACAGAGAGCAGCGCGCGCGCGAGAGAGCGCAGGGAGCAGCGCGCAACGCGCGAGCGCGAGACAGAGAGCGCGCGCGCGACGCGCGAGACGGTGCGCGAGCAGAGCGCGACGCGAGAGCGAGGCAGACAGACGGCGACGTCAGCAGACTCGTCACGCGCCGCTCGGCATAGAGCGCATCCGTCTAGCGCCACGCGCGGATGCCGCTAGAGCCACGCGCGACGCACAGTCGCACGTCGCATCGCCGCTAGCAGACGCGTCTCTCAGCTCTCTCTCCTCTCTCTCCTCTCTCCTCTCCCCTCTCTCTCCTCTCTCTCTCCTCTCTCTCCTCTCCTCTCCTCTCTCCTCTCCTCTCTCTCCTCTCTCTCTCCTCTCCTCTCTCTCCCTTCTCTCTCCCTCTCTCCTCTCCTCTCTTCCTCTCTCCTCTCCTCTCTTCCTCTCTCCTCTCCTCTCTCCTCTCCTCTCTCCTCTCTCTCCTCTTCTCTCCTCTCCTCTCTCCTCGCTCTCTCCTCTCTCCTCGCTCTCTCCTCTCTCTCTCCTCTCTCTCCTCTCTCCTCTCCTCTCTCTCTCTCTCTCTCCTCTCTCTCTCCTCTCTCCTCTCTCTCTCTCTCTCCTCTCTCCTCTCTCCTTTCTCTCTTCCTCTCTCTCGCTCTCTCCTCTCTCTCTCTCTCTCTCTCCTCGCTCTCTCTCCTCTCTCCGCGCTCTCTCCTCTCTCCTCTCTCTCCTCTCTCCTCGCTCTCTCCTCTCTCTCTCTCTCTCTCCTCTCTCCTCTCTCCTCTCTCTCCTCTCTCCTCTCCTCTCTCTCCTCTCTACTCTTTCTCCCCTCGTAATGTATTGCATTGTTTATTTATTGCTCAGTATTTGCACATTTACTGTAAGTCTGGATTTAATCGGAATCCTTTTATTGCGATGTGAGTAACAAGAAGTCACAAACTCATAACTCATAAAATCAAAGGCATAAATATAAATCTACATAAATGTCTTCAATTTACTAGATACAAGTGCACTAGGTGCACACAACAGTGTTCAAGAGTCCAACAGCAGAGGGGAAGAAACTGTTCTTATGGCGGGAGGTTCTAGTCCTGATGGACCGCAGCCTCCTGCCTGAGGGGAGTGGTTGGAATAGTCCATGTGCAGGTGAGAGGGGAGTGGTTGGAATGGTCCATGTGCAGGTGAGAGGGGAGTGGTTGGAATAGTCCATGTGCAGGTGAGAGGGGAGAGGTTGGAATAGTCCATGTGCAGGTGAGAGGGGAGTGGTTGGAATAGTCCATGTGCAGGTGAGAGGGGAGTGGTTGGAATAGTCCATGTGCAGGTGAGAGGGAAGTGGTTGGAATAGTCCATGTGCAGGTGAGAGGGGAGTGGTTGGAATAGTCCATGTGCAGGTGAGAGGGGAGTGGTTGGAATAGTCCATGTGCAGGGTGAGAGGGAAGAGGTTGGAATAGTCCATGTGCAGGTGAGAGGGGAGTGGTTGGAATAGTCCATGTGCAGGTGAGAGGGGAGTGGTTGGAACAGTCCATGTGCAGGTGAGAGGGGAGAGGTTGGAATAGTCCATGTGCAGGTGAGAGGGGAGTGGTTGGAATAGTCCATGTGCAGGTGAGAGGGAAGAGGTTGGAATAGTCCATGTGCAGGTGAGAGGGGAGTGGTTGGAATAGTCCATGTGCAGGTGAGAGGGAAGAGGTTGGAATAGTCCATGTGCAGGTGAGAGGGAAGTGGTTGGAATAGTCCATGTGCAGGTGAGAGGGGAGTGGTTGGAATAGTCCATGTGCAGGTGAGAGGGGAGTGGTTGGAACAGTCCATGTGCAGGTGAGAGGGGAGTGGTTGGAATAGTCCATGTGCAGGGTGAGAGGGGTCGGCTGTGATACGACCAGCCCGGCCTCGAGCTCGGGCGACGTACAGGTCCTGCAGCGATGGAAGGCTGCGGCCGATCACTTCCTCTGCAGAGCGCACAATGCGCTGTAGTCTCTGTTTGTCCCTGACTGTGGCTCCAGCGAACCACACGGTGACGGAGGAGGTGATGGAGGAGGTGATGGAGGAGGTGATGGAGGAGGTGATGGAGGAGGTGATGGAGGAGGTGATGGAGGAGGTGATGATGGAGGAGGTGATGATGGAGGAGGGTGATGGAGGAGGGGATGGAGGTGATGGAGGAGGGATGAGGAGGAGGTGATGGAGGAGGTGATGAGGAGGTGATGAGGATGGAGGAGGTGATGAGGAGGAGGTGATAGAGGAGGTGATGGAGGAGGTGATGGAGGAGGGGATGGAGGAGGTGATGGAGAAGGTGATGGAGGAGGTGATAGAGGAGGTGATGAGGAGGTGATGGAGGAGGTGATGGAGGAGGTGATGGAGGAGGTGATGAGGAGGTGATGAGGAGGTGATGGAGGAGGTGATAGAGGAGGTGATGGAGGAGGTGATGGAGGAGGTGATGGAGGAGGTGATGGAGGAGGTGATGGAGGAGGTGATGGAGGAGGTGATGGAGGTGATGGAGGAGGTGATGAGGAGGTGATGGAGGAGGGGATGGAGGTGATGGAGGAGGTGATGAGGAGGTGATGGAGGAGGTGATGGAGGAGGTGATGGAGGAGGTGATGGAGGAGGTGATGAGGAGGTGATGGAGGAGGTGATAGAGGAGGTGATGGAGGAGGGGATGGAGGAGGTGATGGAGAAGGTGATGGAGGAGGTGATAGAGGAGGTGATGAGGAGGTGATGGAGGAGGTGATGGAGGAGGTGATGGAGGAGGTGATGAGGAGGTGATGGAGGAGGTGATAGAGGAGGTGATGGAGGAGGTGATGGAGGAGGTGATGGAGGAGGTGATGAGGAGGTGATGGAGGAGGGGATGGAGGAGGTGATGGAGGAGGTGATGAGGAGGTGATGGAGGAGGTGATGGAGGAGGTGATGGAGGAGGTGATGGAGGAGGTGATGAGGAGGTGATGGAGGAGGTGATAGAGGAGGTGATGGAGGAGGTGATGGAGGAGGTGATGGAGGAGGTGATGGAGGAGGTGATGGAGGAGGTGATGAGGAGGTGATGGAGGAGGTGATAGAGGAGGTGATGGAGGAGGTGATGAGGAGGTGATGGAGGAGGTGATGAGGAGGTGATGGAGGAGGTGATAGAGGAGGTGATGGAGGAGGGGATGGAGGAGGTGATAGAGGAGGTGATGGAGGAGGTGATGGAGGAGGGGATGGAGGAGGTGAGGATGTATACAATACAATACAATTTATTCTTGTATAGCCCTAGGTCACAACAGAAGTCATCTCAGAGACTTAACAAAACCATTGAAATCACCAACACAGGTCAGAGAATCAACAGTTAAAACACATGAAGAATATAAAGCACACACAGAAGAAAATGTCCATACATGTTGTAGAATGCTAAAGTGTCCTGATCATCACCAATCCTTTCTGTTGGACACTAACTGTCCAACAAGACCCTCCTGCATCGACAAGGAAAAACTCTTAAAAAACCCAGTGGGAAAAAGTGAGAAACCTTGGGGAGAACTAGGGAAACCCACAGGGAGGGAGACCCATATGAGAAAGGGATCCGCTCCTCCGGACGGACAGGCTAATGATCTAGGACCTAAGCTAGCTACAGGACGTGGACCAGTGGCCGCTGAACGTGGACAGGTCCGGTGCAGGACCGAAGCACTCCCAGGCGGGTCGGACGGGGCAGTCCGCAGGTGTAGATGGAGGAGGCCAGGCTCAGAGATCCCGTCATCGTACCATGAAACAGACAATGGGACAACGGGTGAATAGCAATGAACAAACTACAGTCAAATGGAGATGAACTCGATGATGGCCGTGTAGAACTACACCAACATCTGTGCAGGCAGCTTGGCTTGGACTCCCCCATCAGAGGTGAAGGACTCCCCCATCAGAGGTGAAGGACTCCCCCATCAGGGGTGAAGGACTCCCCCATCAGAGGTGAAGGACTCCCCCATCAGAGGTGATGGACTCCCCCATCAGGGGTGAAGGACTCCCCCATCAGAGGTGAAGGACTCCCCCATCAGGGGTGAAGGACTCCCCCATCAGAGGTGATGCCCTCCCCCATCAGAGGTGAAGTACTCCCCCATCAGAGGTGAAGAACTCCCCCATCAGAGGTGATGAACTCCCCCATCAGAGGTGAAGGACTCCCCCATCAGAGGTGAAGGACTCCCCCATCAGAGGTGATGTACTCCCCCATCAGAGGTGAAGAACTCCCCCATCAGAGGTGAAGGACTCCCCCATCAGAGGTGTCAGAGGTGATGACTCCCCCATCAGAGGTGAAGAACTCCCCCATCAGAGGTGAAGGACTCCCCCATCAGAGGTGAAGAACTCCCCCATCAGGGGTGAAGGACTCCCCCCATCAGAGGTGAAGAACTCCCCCATCAGAGGTGAAGAACTCCCCCATCAGAGGTGATGTACACCCCCATCAGAGGTGAAGAACTCCCCCATCAGAGGTGTCAGAGGTGATGACTCCCCCATCAGAGGTGAAGAACTCCCCCATCAGAGGTGAAGGACTCCCCCATCAGAGGTGAAGAACTCCCCCATCAGGGGTGAAGAACTCCCCCATCAGGGGTGAAGAACTCCCCCCATCAGAGGTGAAGGACTCCCCCATCAGAGGTGAAGGACTCCCCCATCAGAGGTGATGTACACCCCCATCAGAGGTGAAGAACTCCCCCATCAGAGGTGAAGAACTCCCCCATCAGAGGTGAAGGACTCCCCCATCAGAGGTGAAGGACTCCCCCATCAGAGGTGAAGGACTCCCCCATCAGAGGTGATGTACACCCCCATCAGAGGTGAAGAACTCCCCCATCAGAGGTGAAGGACTCCCCCATCAGAGGTGATGTACTCCCCCATCAGAGGTGAAGAACTCCCCCATCAGAGGTGAAGGACTCCCCCATCGGAGGTGTCAGATGATGACTCCCCCATCAGAGGTGAAGAACTCCCCCATCAGAGGTGAAGAACTCCCCCATCATAGGTGAAGAACTCCCCCATCAGAGGTGATGGACTCCCCCATCAGAGGTGATGAACACCCCCTGCTGTAGGAGACACCAGGACACCTGCTCCTGTAGGAGACACCAGGACACCTCCTCCTGTAGAAGACACCAGGACACCTCCTCATGTAGGAGACACCAGGACACCTGCTCCTGTAGGAGACACCAGGACACCTGCTCCTGTAGGAGACACCAGGACACCTCCTCCTGTAGAAGACACCAGGACACCTCCTCATGTAGGAGACACCAGGACACCTGCTCCTGTAGGAGACACCAGGACACCTGCTCCTGTAGGAACCACCAGGACACCTCCTCATGTAGGAGACACCAGGACACCTGCTCCTGTAGAAGACACCAGGACACCTGCTCCTGTAGGAGACACCAGGACACCTCCTCCTGTAGAAGACACCAGGACACCTGCTCCTGTAGGAACCACCAGGACACCTCCTCATGTAGGAGACACCAGGACACCTGCTCCTGTAGGAGACACCAGGACACCTCCTCATGTAGGAACCACCAGGACACCTCCTCCTGTAGGAGACACCAGGACACCTGCTCCTGTAGAAGACACCAGGACACCTCCTCCTGTAGGACACACCAGGACACCTCCTCCTGTAGGAGACACCAGGACACCTCCTCCTGTAGAAGACACCAGGACACCTCCCCATGTAGGAACCACCAGGACACCTCCTCCTGTAGGAGACACCAGGACACCTCCTCCTGTAGAAGACACCAGGACACCTCCTCATGTAGGAGACACCAGGACACCTGCTCCTGTAGAAGACACCAGGACACCTCCTCATGTAGGAGACACCAGGACACCTCCTCCTGTAGAAGACACCAGGACACCTCCTCATGTAGGAGACACCAGGACACCTCCTCCTGTAGAAGACACCAGGACACCTCCTCCTGTAGGAGACACCAGGACACCTCCTCCTGTAGAAGACACCAGGACACCTCCTCATGTAGGAGACACCAGGACACCTCCTCCTGTAGGAGACACCAGGACACCTGCTCCTGTAGAAGACACCAGGACACCTCCTCCTGTAGGACACACCAGGACACCTCCTCCTGTAGGAGACACCAGGACACCTCCTCCTGTAGAAGACACCAGGACACCTCCCCATGTAGGAACCACCAGGACACCTCCTCCTGTAGGAGACACCAGGACACCTCCTCCTGTAGGAGACACCAGGACACCTCCTCCTGTAGGACACACCAGGACACCTCCTCCTGTAGGACACACCATCACACCTCCTCCTGTAGGAGACACCAGCACACCTCCTCCTGCAGGAGGGCTCCTGTATTTATAATCTGAGAGTCCGAGACATTCTTCCCCAGACGCACTCGCTGCTTCCTGTCCGTCAGGAAGTCAGTGATCCACCTGCAGGTGGAATCAGGCACGTTGAGCTGGGAGAGCTTGTCCTGGAGCAGGGATGGCAGGATTGTGTTGAAGGCAGAGCTGAAGTCCACGAACAGGACCCTGGCGTAGGTCCCCGGGGAGTCCAGGTGCTGTAGGATGTGGTGGAGGGCCAGGTTAATGGCGTCGTCTACAGATCTGTTGGCTCTGTATCAATTACAATAATGGAATGGACAAAGAAAGGGCTGTTAAGAATCAAAGATCCTCTCTCCTCCTCCCCCTCCTCTCTCCACTCTCCCCCTCTCTCCTTTTCCTCCCTCCTCTCTCCTTTCGCCTCTTCTCTCCACTCTCCTATCTCCTCTCCCCTCCTCTCTCCTCTTCCTCCCCCCTCTCTCCCCTCTTCCTCCCCCTCTCTCCCCTCTCTTCTCTCCCCCTCCTCTCTCCTCTTCCTCCCTTCTCTCTCCTCCTCCTTCCTCCTCTCTCCTCTTCCCTCTTCTCTCCTCCTCCTCTCTCCTCTTCTCTCCTCTTCCTCTCTCCTCCTCCCTCTCCTCTTCCTCCCTTCTCTCTCCTCCTCCTTCCTCCTCTCTCCTCTCCCCTCTTCTCTCCTCCTCCTCCCTCCTCTCTCCTCCCTCTTCCCTCTCCTCTCTCCTCCCTCTCCCCTCTCCTCCCTCTCCCCTCTCCTCTCTCCTCCCTCTTCCCTCTCCTCCCTCTCCCCTCTCCTCCCTCCTCTCTCCTCCCTCTCCCCTCTCCTCTCTCCTCCCTCTCCATCTGCTGCAGCGCTGCGTAACCGCGCTCCTGCAGCCAATGAGAAGGAGGCAGAGGAGTCGGTGACGCGGCCCGGTCCCGGTGACGCGGCCCGGTGCCTTCTCCTCTGCACAGTCTGTGAACGGAGAGAGCCACAGATGGAGGGAGCGCGGGGAGAGCAGATGGAAACCATTTAGACTCAAACCAGAAGAGCGCATGCGCCGCTGCGAACGACAGACCCTGCAGTGATATTGTCTCTGATGCTTCAGGACCTGCCTCCGTCCTCTGCAGACCCCCGCAGACCCCCGCAGACCCCCCGCAGCTCCGAGGACGGATCTATCGTTTGTGTTTGAGCCGCTGTGGTGACGTCATGGAGACCGGGAGCCCACGGAAAATCCAGTTCACGATGCCGCTGCTGGACACGCACCTGGACCCGGAGGCAGCGGAGCAGGTGATGTCACATCAAACTTATTCAACTCTTATTATCTGTGCCGAGGATGTGTGTGTCACCTGTGCATGTGTGTGTGAGTGTGCGTGTGTGTCACCTGTGCATGTGTGACCTGTGTGTGCGTGTGACCTGTGTGTGTGTGACCTGTGCGTGTGTGACCTGTGTGTGTGTGACCTGTGTGTGTGTGACCTGTGTGTGTGTGACCTGTACATGTGTGTGACCTGTGTGTGTGTGACCTGTGCGTGTGTGACCTGTGTGTGTGTGTGACCTGTACATGTGTGTGACCTGTGTGTGTGTGACCTGTACATGTGTGTGTGACCTGTGTGTGTGTGACTTGTACATATGTGTGTGACCTGTGTGTGTGTGTGTGTGTGACCTGTGCATGTGTGTGTGTGAGTATGCGTGTGTGTGTGTGTGAGTGTGCGTGTGTGACCTGTGCATGTGTGTGTGTGCGTGTGTGTCACCTGTGCATGTGTGTGTGTGACCTGTGTGTGTGTGACCTGTACATGTGTGTGACCTGTGTGTGTGTGACCTGTGCGTGTGTGACCTGTGTGTGTGTGTGACCTGTACATGTGTGTGACCTGTGTGTGTGTGACCTGTACATGTGTGTGTGACCTGTGTGTGTGTGACTTGTACATATGTGTGTGACCTGTGTGTGTGTGTGTGACCTGTGCATGTGTGTGTGTGAGTATGCGTGTGTGTGTGTGTGTGAGTGTGCGTGTGTGACCTGTGCATGTGTGTGTGACCTGTGCATGTGTGTGTGTGCGTGTGTGTCACCTGTGCATGTGTGTGTGTGAGTGTGCGTGTGTGTCACCTGTGCATGTGTGTGACCTGTACATGTGTGTGTTTTCTCTGTGACACTTTACTGTGTTTTCACTGTGTGTACGTGTGTATGTATGTGTGTATGTACGTGTGTGTATGTGTGTATGTATGTATGTGTGTGTGTATACATGTATGCATGTATGTGTGTGTGTGTACATGTATGTATGTATGTATACATGTATGTATGTATGTATACATGTATGTATGTATGTATGTATGTATGTATGTATGTATGTATGTATACATGTATGTATGTATGTATGCATGTATACATGTATCTATGTATGTATGTATGTATACATGTATGTATGTTTGTATGTATACATGTATGTATGTATGTATACATGTATATATGTATGTATGTATACATGTATGTATGTATACATGTATGTATGTATGTATGTATACATGTATGTATGTATGTATACATGTATGTATGTATGTATACATGTATATATGTATGTATACATGCATGTATGTATGTATGTATACATGTATGTTTGTATGCATGTATACATGTATGTATGTATGTATACGTGTATGTATGTGTGTATTATGTATATATACATGTATGTATGTATACATGTATGTATGTATGCATGTATACATGTATGTATGTATACATGTATGTATGTATGTATACGTGTATGTATGTATACATGTATGTATGTATACATGTATGTATGTATACATGTATATATGTATGTATACATGCATGTATGTATGTATACATGAATGTATGTATGTATGTGTGTATGTATGTATGTATACATGTATGTATGTATGTAAACATGTATGTATGTATACATGTATGTATGTATGTAAACATGTATGTATGTATACATGTATGTATGTATACATGTATGTATGTATACATGTATGTATGTATGTATGTATGTATGTATGTATACATGTATGTATGTATGTATACATGTATGTATGTATGTATGCATGTATACATGTATGTATGTATGTATGTATACATGTATGTATGTTTGTATGTATACATGTATGTATGTATGTATACATGTATATATGTATGTATGTATACATGTATGTATGTATGTATACATGTATGTATGTATGTATGTATACATGTATGTATGTATGTATACATGTATGTATGTATGTATACATGTATGTGTGTATGTATGTATACATGTATGTATGTTTGTATGTATACATGTATGCATGTATGTATACATGTATATATGTATGTATACATGCATGTATGTATGTATACATGAATGTATGTATGTATGTGTGTATGTATGTATGTATACATGTATGTATGTATGTATACGTGTATGTATGTGTGTATGTATGTATGTATACATGTATGTATGTATACATGTATATATGTATGTATACATGCATGTATGTATGTATACATGAATGTATGTATGTATGTGTGTATGTATGTATGTATACATGTATGTATGTATGTAAACATGTATGTATGTATACATGTATGTATGTATACATGTATGTATGTATGTATGTATACATGTATGTATGTATACATGTATGTATGTGTGCTGCATGTCTTTCACATATTTACTGCATACGTTCTTAGCAATTCTACAGCATTGTGCAACAAATATACAGTCACATACAGTCTTTACATAGAACAAACATACAGAATATCATGATAGTTGAACTGTGACAAATGTTAATAAAACACACACTTCCTCATGAGTGAAGCTGAAACTCATCTGAGAGAAATTGTTCAATTTAGGAAAGATTTACAGGAAAAAAAGATAAAGGAATGTATGAAATAGTTTGACAGATTTTGGTTTTGAACTAGTTCAGCAATTTTGTATGTGATAAATTTAGGACTATTGGTTTTATAGAGAAAGACTATTCAGAAGTCATAAGTATGTTTCATTGTGACAGAAGCAAATGATAATGTTCTAAAACACAGAGAATTGTATAAAAGTAACTGATCCATGAACAAAAACATTTGTAATCTGTTCAAAGGAGAAACTGCTGCAATGATCACACATGACGTCACACATGACGACACACACGACGACACACATGATGTCACACATGGCGTCATACATGACGTCACACACGACGTCACACATGATGTCACACATGACGTCATACATGACGTCACACATGATGTCACACATGACGTCACTCACACATGACGTCACACATGACGTCACACATGACGTCACACATGACGTCATACATGACGTCACACATGACGTCACTCACACATGACGTCACACATGACGTCACACATGACGAACTGATGAATGAACACATTGTTTATGAGGCAGTTATAGTTTTTTGTTATCAATTGTTTATTGAATTTTGTAAAGTTTTGTAAAATTATAATTAAAACAACATTCATATACCGGTCCAGGGCAAAAAAAAAATAAAATATATATATATATATATATATATATATGAGCAAATATACATCCGTTTATATCATGATATTTGTTGTTAGTTCAAATTCAAATACAAATAGGGGGAGAGTTGCACCACAGTCCCAACCGTACATTATAGTAGAGTTTCTTTCAAGTCAGAAACCGTTTGATTCCACAGGTCGACTGTTTTCTCCTTGGCATAGTGTATTCGCGCCGTAGATAGTTCTAAATAAGCAATGTCAATAAATGTTAGAACCCATTGACGATGAGAAAGACAATGGGGAGGTTTCCATCTAACAGCAATCATTTTTTTAGCAGCAAGTAAAACATTTTCTTTGTCTTTCCGCAAGCCAAGGAGAGACATGTCATTGAGTAGTAAAACCTGTGGCATACAAGGAATATTGCATGAAAGTAACAGTGATAAGCTATTGCATAGAGCACTCCAAAAATAATATACACCTGGGCATTCCCACACCATGTGAAAATAAGTGCCCAATGCATTTGTGTGGCATAATGTAAGGGTCAGTTTTTAGCTTCATCTTGAAAAGTCTTTGGGGTGTCATATAGGTCCTGTGAATAAAGTTCAAATGTATCTGCGGATGGTCTGGATTTTTAGATGAGCAAAGCACAGAGTTGCACATTTTTCCCCAATCAAAATCCAAAGGTAAATTGGGAATATCATTTCTCCAGGTTGGGTCTAGTTGTAAAGGGATGAAAGACTCTTCCAAAAGGTGATTGTATAGTTTGGAGATAATACCTTTTGATATACCAGATCCATCCAAAAAATGTAACAAAGGAGGAACATGAAGAGAAGATTGCCATGGTACTCCATACGTTTTCATAGCAGTTCTCAACTGTAGGTAAAAAAAGAATGAGGAACGATGTATATTGAACCGGCTGCAGAGATCCTCAAATGAGAGGAGGCCCTTACTGTCAAACATATCACCCAAAGAGTGTATTCCCTTATCATACCAGTGTTTATATTGCGTTCGCTTTACAGGACATTTGTCAATAAGAATATATTCATTATTAAAAATTGGAGAATGAATATTCCACTTCATTGTTATTCCACACACTTTTTCAGCAGAGCGCCAAACAGTGATGCAGTGTGACAAAAGCGGACCAAAACGTGCAAAACACTTCTTAGTGGGAACATTTGCAAATAATATTTCAGGTTTAGAGGATGAGCAAGAGATTCATCTATTGACCGCCAAGATACATCCAAGGAAGTGTCATACCAAGCTTCTAGAGGCCGAAGTACAAAGGCCCAGTGATATAATTTGAAAATCGGTAGTGACATGCCTCCTGCTGTTCTGTTGCGTTGAACTGTGGAGAACTTTAGGCGCGGCTTCTTCCCATTCCTAATAAATGTACTGACGGCTTTATGAAGCCTATTCCAATAATGAGGTGGAGGTGGTAACGGAATCATGAAGCTAATAAAATGTATTCGTGGCAATATAGGGCGACAGTAGCTCAGTTGGTAGAGCATTGGCCTTCAGGCCTGAAGGTTGTGGGTTCAATTCCCACCTCGACACCTTCTCCACCGACTCCCACTGATGTCTGCTGTCGTTGTGTCCTTGGGCAAGACACTTAACCCCACTTTGCCTAAAGCCCCCACTGAAAGATCAAGGCTATGCTCACACTCAGAGAGCAGCCGTCCTCCTGTGGACTCACCACCTGCAGAGGGTCAGTGAGGGGC